CTTGTATTGTCTGCAAAAATATCAGAGGGGATTCAATTAATTTCTTTGCTTATATTTCAGTTTTTTAAAAATCAAAGTTTTAATTCACTAGAATCAAGAGATGTGCAATCCCTTTAAAAAGACACTTTTTGAAAATTGACTAGATGAAAGATTATATGAAAAGTCTGAACACAATAAAAAGAAAAATACTTGTATAAAAAATAGATCAACAAAAACTACAATGAATGTGACGGCCTATGGCTAGATCCAGAATCTTCGTCAATAAGCTTGAGGAATACACATCACAAGGACTGCCTATTATACACCCTTGGTAGGAGCTGTTTATCTATTCATGTGTATATAGGCTGTTGGAGTCGTATTCTGGTTGTGTCTTGGTTAAGGAAACCCATTATAGTGGGTAAAATGAACTGGATTCTTGACAATAATGAAGAGTGTACTTATGATGATTTTTGAGACTAGACATTCATGGTAAAATATTTAGTTTTTACTTAGAATAAACCATGTTATGTTGGGAGGAAGTAATTATAACAGTAAAGTCTAATTAATTAATGTAACAGAATATCCACTAATTACAATTACAGAATACAAGTTAGGTAACTGACTTTCACAGCAAAGTCAAGGTCACACAGCAAAGTCAAGGTCAGTCAGGTAAAAAAAATGTACTGGTTTATCAATTTCTAGAATAACAATGATACAAGTTAAATGCAGTGTCAAGACAGTCTGTGAACCACAGATTTACAGTATGACACAAAGAATTAAGGTCACAGTGACTTAATATGATAACATATCACTTGATGGATATGATGTCACACACCTAGACATTTATCTGTAGACATAGGTTTATGACTCTGAGACTTGAAGAATCAGGAAAAAAATGCAAAGTTGATCAAAGTTGCTTGACTGACTGAGAAAACATTTAAATTAATGTGATTTAAATGGGGTGTGGGGATATCATCTGTATCTTCATACTTGATGTGTCTTTGTAGGCAAGACATTAAATTGTACCACTGAAGTCTGTGTTTTTAGGGTAAGATAATAATAATTTAAGTCTTGAGACTTAGATATACATGTAATTGGTGAGCCAGGTGTGGGCATAAGGAAAATAATTGGTGTTGCAAAAATGATTACACCCATTAATTTCTAGAGTAGCATTGAATCATACTTGATAAAAAGTCAGTCTATCATAGCAGATATATAATACGGAATGATGAAGAAGACAAATCTATTTAAGTACAGAAACAAATTGTCTAATTCAACTATCTCATTCTATGTAACTTTACCTACAGATAAAAGCAGTCAGACAGGTTTACATATACACAATTCCCACGAGTAATAATTACTTTTTATTCTAAATATGATTTACGAAAAAAACGTTGACAAGAAATATGAATAAAAAAAAATCATAAAAAAAAGGAAATTGATCCTTATGAAGTAAAGAAGTATTTGACAAGAAAATTTATACTTGATTTACTGAAGAAATTAAAATATTAGATTTATAACGAGTAAAACATGATTACATTAAAACAGTTATAAGTTTAAAATCTAATTTTGTTATATATGTAAGGTATAACAACATATTGCACTTCACGGTGTAACATCACAATGGATTTCTGATAGTGATTAATCTTTCACAACTTATAGCCATTTAAAATGCGTAGTAAACATATACTGTTATAATATATTAGTTAATATGTACACCAGTTCTTTAATTCTTATACATACATATGTCCACCACTTATTGTTGACAAAATATCCATTGTATTCTAGTATTGTATGTGATAACGAGTCAACTAGACCTACCTCTTCACAGGAGGAAAAAAGGAAATTAAATCAATACACTGTTATCAGTTAATCTCCTGGAGAAAGTCGACATGACAATAAAAAACCCTCCATGGGGAAAATGACATAGATAGGAATGAAATCAAAATACTTATACCATGTTTCTAAATTTTATGAAGGGCAAAATTAAGGAATGAAATCAACATGTTATAAATCTTATACATGGGTGAATTAGAGATTGAAATCAATTTGTTATCAACTTATACATGGGTGAATTAGAGATTGAAATCAATTTGTTATCAACTTATACATGGGTGAATTAGAGATTGAAATCAATTTGTTATCAACTTATACATGGGTGAATTAGAGATAGAAATCAACAGGTTATCAACTTATACATGGGTGAATTAGAGATAGAAATCAATTTGTTATCAACTTATACATGGGTGAATTAGAGATTGAAATCAATTTGTTATCAACTTATACATGGGTGAATTAGAGATTGAAATCAACAGGTTATCAACTTATACATGGGTGAATTAGAGATTGAAATCAATTTGTTATCAACTTATACATGGGTGAATTAGAGATTGAAATCAATTTGTTATCAACTTATACATGGGTGAATTAGAGATAGAAATCAACAGGTTATCAACTTATACATGGGTGAATTAGAGATTGAAATCAACAGGTTATCAACTTATACATGGGTGAATTAGAGATTGAAATCAATTTGTTATCAACTTATACATGGGTGAATTAGAGATAGAAATCAACAGGTTATCAACTTATACATGGGTGAATTAGAGATTGAAATCAACAGGTTATCAACTTATACATGGGTGAATTAGAGATTGAAATCAATTTGTTATCAACTTATACATGGGTGAATTAGAGATTGAAATCAACAGGTTATCAACTTATACATGGGTGAATTAGAGATTGAAATCAATTTGTTATCAACTTATACATGGGTGAATTAGAGATTGAAATCAATTTGTTATCAACTTATACATGGGTGAATTAGAGATAGAAATCAACAGGTTATCAACTTATACATGGGTGAATTAGAGATTGAAATCAATTTGTTATCAACTTATACATGGGTGAATTAGAGATTGAAATCAATTTGTTATCAACTTATACATGGGTGAATTAGAGATTGAAATCAATTTGTTATCAACTTATACATGGGTGAATTAGAGATTGAAATCAATTTGTTATCAACTTATACATGGGTGAATTAGAGATTGAAATCAATTTGTTATCAACTTATACATGGGTGAATTAGAGATTGAAATCAATTTGTTATCAACTTATACATGGGTGAATTAGAGATTGAAATCAATTTGTTATCAACTTATACATGGGTGAATTAGAAATAGAAATCAACAGGTTATCGATCTTATACAAGAGTTAACTAGTGAATGAAATCAACACTTTATCATCATGTTAAAAAAAAGGATATTTCTCAGATGTAAACATCATGTGTGATATTAGTTTAAGGACATGAGTTCAATGCTAGTTTCATTTTGAACACATCTACAAATACCTTATACAGATAAAGTAATGTACTGACTACAATAAATTATATTATGCTATTGATAGTGGTGACTATTATTAAATGTGAAAATCAGGGAAATGTTCCAGTGTGTTTTTTCAATTCAAGACTTCCTCAGAAATCAGGAGATGACTGAAAGCACCTTGTGATGTCACAATAGGTTATACTACACATGTAACACACACAACTTTAACTTGGTTATATTCATTGAGTAACAAGGCATTCTTGTGATAAAAATATATTTTATATCTGAGTCCGTAGCAGGCTAATGAGCACAGTCAATAACTGACATTAATCAGTCGGAGTTGAGAGCTACTTGACATTCCTATACTATATACATTGTCAGGGCTTTTTACCCTTTGGCTTCTTTTGAAAATGGAATAAAATTGTGAAAGGATTGATACCTTAAAAATAAAGTTAAAAAAGACATTAATAATCTCTTTCATTATTTCTGTGAAAAATGAATACTTCAAGCTTTTATCAAAACCACAAAAATTTGGAACACACCAACAACAACCTTCATAGAAGGTGTAAAGTTGACCTGGTTGTGTACATTACTACTGATAAAATACATAACAATGATGATGTCACATTCAACCACAGATGAAATAACGTGTGTCGGGATTAAATGAACCAATAACATGATTTAATTACGCATCAGGTTGTGACCTCTGGATGTTCCCAATAATTCTGATTACAGACAATATGTCCGTTAAGTGATGACTTCTGAAGACTGCAGTCAATATATCCCGAACTCTGTCTACAGACTTCCTAATCCAACGATGACCAGCAGATGTGTGGATGACCAAAAGAGTATTCTTTCCATTAGTTCGAGGAATTATATCCAGTGACAGACGCATACAGTGTCTACTAGCTCCTTGAATAACATATGGTAAGTGTGTGACTGACATATTGAATCCTTCAGCCTAGTAAACTGAATCAGGTGCACTGATGATTAAAAAATACTGTGTCCACTAGCCTGTATAATATCAGGACGCAGATGACTGACGGACACTGTATCCACTTGCCTAAATAATCATATCAGGATGCAGATGGCCGACAGATACAGTGTCCACTGGCCTGTATAATCATATCAGGATGCAGATGACCGACAGACACTGTGTCCACTGGCCTGTATAATCATATTAGGACGCAGATGACCGACAGATACTGTGTCCACTAGCCTGTTTAATCATATCAGGACGCAGATGACCGACAGATACTGTGTCCACTGGCCTGTATAATCATATTAGGACGCAGATGACCGACAGATACTGTGTCCACTGGCCTGTATAATCATATCAGGACGCAGATGACCAATGGATACTGTGTCCACTGGCCTGTATAATTATATCAGGATGCAGATGGCCGACAGATACAGTGTCCACTGGCCTGTATTATCATATTAGGACGCAGATGACCGACAGACACTGTGTCCACTGGCCTGTATAATCATATTAGGACGCAGATGACCGACAGATAATGTGTCCACCAGCCTGTTTAGTCATATTAGGACGCAGATGACCGACAGACACTGTATCACTAGCCTGTATAATATCAGGACGCAGATGACCGACGGACACTGTGTCCACTGGCCTGTATAATTATATCAGGATGAGATGACTGACAGATACTGTGTCCACTAGCCTGTATAATCATATCAGGACGCAGATGACCGACGGATACTGTGTCCACTAGCAGACATGTTAAGGAAGAAGGAGAGAACTTCAGCTTGAACAAACACATCCTGGGCACCCTGCATCATGATCTGTGCGGGATTTAGTTTGGCATCATTGACCGCAGGCTGTAGGAGGGTGGGGCCAAACACTGTTGATAGGTTACTCAAAGACATCTTGTTCTGTGATTCAAACTTGGCTACTCTGTAACGTAACAACATTATAATGCTACTGAGTATATGATTTACACTTAGAAGATTGAAATTTTATCCTTTGGTACAGTATTTATCTCATACATGTATATATACAGACTCTGATAATTGGAACATGTAAATATGGAACACCCTCCTAACTCGTGAAACTTGAATACTCTCCTTTAACCCATGAAACTGAAATACCCTTCATTTAACTCGTGAAACTTGAATACCCTCATCTTTACTCTTAAACTGGATTTCCTTCCTCTTAACACGTAAAACTGGAATACCTTCCTCTATACTCCAAGTACGTTGTTCATCGTTTCAGAATTATCTCTTTATCTTAGTAATGAAGACTAGGGAGGTAGGGGGAGGGAACCTACGATTTGAAGAAATAAATTTGGTCCTGGAAATCAATTTCAGGGCCACATTTTTAATCGCTACATTTTACCAGTAATGTTTAAGGCTTTTTGGATCTATTGTGCTCATTAAATATATTTAACAACATTTCAATGCGGTTATTTTTTTTGCGTCACACTTTTATTTATTATCTGAACTATCTATTTGCTGTGAAGTCCGAGCTAACACTTACACAAGAGTATTGTGATATTATTTATTTTGTGTAATATCATCGCATATCTTACCTTGATAAAGTTAAATATAATTTTGAATAAATTGCTGAAATTATGCATCATAATTATCATCTTTTGGTAACTTAATATTGACATGGCCAAGCACTTTATAAGGAATTTTGACAAACACAAAATGTCCTGGTAGGGACTGAACATAGAAATGACTGCCTTGTGTTTTTTGATGAAACAATAAAACAGAAATTGTCCGGTAGTCAGACGTTACTCACTTCACAAGGTGTTCTATAACACTGACAATGGTGTAGTAGTTCTCATCAGGAAGGTCGTGAAACAGTTGTAACATACACTTCTCCTTGGATGGTAGATCCTTCAATCCTGGAAACAGATATCATATACTATATCTACTGGAGATCCTTAAACCCTTTATACATCTACTTCTGGTCCTTTAATCTGACGTACATACTGATGAAAATTCTTTGATAATGAAGAGATTCTATCAGAGACAAAGAACTATCAGAGACAAGAATTATCAGAGACAAAGAACTATCAGAGACAAAGAACAAAGAACTATCAGAGACAAGAACTATCAGAGACAAAGAACTATCAGAGACAAAGAACTATCAGAGACAAGAACTATCAGAGACAAAGAACTATCAGAGACAAAGAACTATCAGAGACAAGAACTATCAGAGACAAAGAACTATCAGAGACAAAGAACTATCAGAGACAAAGAGCTATCAGAGACAGAGACAAAGAACTATCAGAGACAAAGAGCTATCACAGACAAAGAGCTATCAGAGACAACAAGAACTATCAGAGACAATCAGAGACATCAGAACTATCAGAGACAAAAAACTATCAAGAGACAAAGAACTATCACAGACAAAAAACTATCAGAGACAAGAACTATCACAGACAAAGAACTATCAGAGACAAGAACTATCAGAGACAAGAACTATCAGAGACAAAGAACTATCACAGACAAAAAACTATCAGAGACAAAGAACTATCAGAGACAAAGAACTATCAGAGACAAGAACTATCAGAGACAAAGAACTATCAGAGACAAAGAACTATCAGAGACAAAGAACTATCAGAGACAAGAACTATCAGAGACAAAGAACTATCAGAGACAAAGAACTATCAGAGACAAGAACTATCAGAGACAAAGAACTATCAGAGACAAAGACCTATCAGAGACAAAAAACTATCAGAGGCAAAGAACTATCAGAGACAAAGACCTATCAGAGACAAGAACTATCAGAGACAAGAACTATCAGAGACAAAAGAACTATCACAGACAAAAAACTATCAGAGACAAGAACTATCACAGACAAAGAACTATCAGAGACAAGAACTATCAGAGACAAGAACTATCAGAGACAAGAACTATCACAGACAAAGAACTATCAGAGACAAGAACTATCAGAGACAAAGAACTATCACAGACAAAAAACTATCAGAGACAAAGAACTATCAGAGACAAGAACTATCAGAGACAAAGAACTATCAGAGACAAAGAACTATCAGAGACAAAGAACTTTCAGAGACAAGAACTATCAGAGACAAAGAACTATCAGAGACAAAGACCTATCAGAGACAAAGAACTATCAGAGACAAAGAACTATCAGAGACAAAAAACTATCAGAGGCAAAGAACTATCAGAGACAAAGAACTATCAGAGACAAGAACTATCAGAGACAAAGAACTATCAGAGACAAAGAACTATCAGAGACAAAGAACTATCAGAGACAAAAAACTATCAGAGACAAAGAACTATCAGAGACAAAGAACTATCACAGACAAAAAACTATCAGAGACAAAGAACTATCACAGACAAAAAACTATCAGAGACAAAGAACTATCAGAGACAAAGAACTATCAGAGACAAGAACTATCAGAGACAAAAAACTATCAGAGACAAAGAACTATCAGAGACAAAGAGCTATCACAGACAAAGAGCTATCAGAGACAAAGAACTATCAGAGACAAAGAACTATCAGAGACAAGAACTATCAGAGACAAAGAATTATCAGAGACAAAAATATGAACGCTTGTACAGACAAAATTTCTGAGTACTGATGTTTGGTGTCCTATATCGTATCTGACTCAGTTGAATCTAACTAATACTTGATAAAACTAACCTCAAGTCTATTGATATAAACAGTTACTATGGGACTACAGGTTGTTGACCTACCTGCTGTACTGATGAATGCCTTATAATTAGCCTCTGTGAAGAGTGGATCAGGTAGCTCACGAAAGAACAATTTAAGGACACCACTCACAGCATGGATATCACTGCTGGTGATGGCGTTTATTCCAGCACGCATATCTGAAACAGACAATTAAATACGTTTTCTTAACAGAATGTTAGTAATATATAAAAGACATTGTCTAGATAAATATACATGTCATCAAAAAGTGATAAATCACTCGCGAAAATCAGAAATAGCTGGTATCTTTGGTCTTAGTAGGGTACAACAATTATCAAAGATGGCAGACAATAATATGCAGGATGGATGCGGGCAAATAAGCTTAACATTGGTACATATTTGAACACTGGGAGAGGAGTTTATTCAGGGTAAAATATAACATGAAAGAAAATATTGCATTATTGTTTGTTTTAGTCCTACTCACTTTTATCAAATGTCTTTTTTAACCTCTGTATTTCTGATGTCACTCCAGAGACTCTGTAGATCCCCACCTCATCCAGACCTGTAACATCAAATATCATTATTATTTATAAATCATTTCCTTACAAAACGTAAGTCACAACTGTAACATACATCATGTAGACACCTTATTATTATATCAGTAGCACAATGGAGATGTATGTATGCTGATCCTCTATCTCCCCCATACACTGTCAACTCCTTCCCCTCCACTCCCTGCCCCCATTCCCTCAACACCAATCTCTCCATCCTTTCCCCTACTCTAACCTACCCCAGGTGGCAATACTCACCTCTGGCCTCTATCTCCCTTATACACTATCAACTCCTCTCCATCCTTTCCCCTACTCTAACCTACCCCAGGTGGCAATACTCACCTCTGTCTCTATCTCCTTAATACACTGTCAACCCCTCTCCATCCTTTCCCCTACTCTAACCTACCCCAGGTGGCAATACTCACCTCTGTCTCTATCTCCTTTATACACTGTCAACCCCTCTCCATCCTTTCCCCTACTCTAACCTACCCCAGGTGGCCAAACTCACCTCGGTCTCTATCTCCCTCATACACTGTCAACCCCTCTCCATCCTTTCCCCTACTCTAACCTACCCCAGGTGGCCATACTCACCTCGGTCTCTATCTCCCTCATACACTGTCAACCCCTCTCCATCCTTTCCCCTACTCTAACCTACCCCAGGTGGCAATACTCACCTCTGGCCTCTATCTCCTTTATACACTGTCAACCCCTCTCCATCCTTTCCCCTACTCTAACCTACCCCAGGTGGCAATACTCACCTCTGGCCTCTATCTCCTTTATACACTGTCAACTCCTCTCCATCCTTTCCCCTACTCTAACCTACCCCAGGTGGCCATACTCACCTCGGTCTCTACTCCCTCATACACTGTCAACCCCTCTCCATCTTTTCCCGTAATCTAACCTACCCCAGGTGGCAATACTCACCTCTGGCCTCTATCTCCTTCATACACTGTCAACCCCTCTCCACCCTTTCCCCTACTCTAACATACCCCAAGTGGCAATACTCACCTCTGGCTTCTATCTCCTTCATACATGTTGATACAATGGTGGGGATGGTCTTGTTCTCTCGACTGTAAAGAAATTACATTAAAATACCTTAATCTCATTTCATGTGTTGAGTAACTTTCTACTCAAATGTGACAAAAACTTGAATGATTTTATTCTATAATTGGCCAACAGAATTAACCTACAAGTGATACATGTTATCAAGAAAACACTTCAATAGAAAGTTTTTTTTTTACTTTTAAGTAACGGTAAAACAATGGGGACTATAATTTTCCTTGCTGTCTGTCTTTGCTGTCTGTCCTTGCTGTCTGTCCTTGCTGTCTATCCTGGCTGTCTGTCTTTGCTGTCTATCCTTGCTGTTTGTCCTTGCTGTCTCTTGTTGTCTATCCTTGCTGTCTGTCTTTGCTGTCTCTTGTTGTCTGTCCTTGCTGTCTGTCTTTGCTGTCTATTCTTTCTGTCTGTCCTTGCTGTCTCTTGTCTGTCCTTTCTGTCTGTCCTTGCTGTTTGTCTTTGCTGTCTATCCTTGCTGTCTGTCTTTGCTGTCTGTCCTTGCTGTCTCTTGCTGTCTGTCCTTGCTGTCTGTCTTTCCTGTCTATCCTTGCAGTCTATCCTTGCTGTCTGTCTTTGCTGTCTATCCTGGCTGTCTGTCTTTGCTGTCTATCCTTGCTGTCCATCTATGTACATGTTTAACACTAAAGTTTGCCAGTGCCCTACTGGTTTGATTCCTTACTGGATTTTGTACAAACCACACACACTTACAAACCACCATAATATCTCAAGCATGTTGGAGTTCCAGAATCGTTGGGTCAAGATCAATGTCACTGTTACTATTTATAGAAAATCATTATCAACACTAAACATGTATAGCTTTAACAATGCTTGTTATTAATATCTTTTTCCCAGACACAGTAATACATAGAATTGATGTCTGTACAAAAACACTCAGTTTTAAAGTGATCGTATTTATTCTGCATGACATCATAAGGACTCTAACATATCACCTGCAGCCAAGTGTATGAATATTGGCATATTGTAGGCCAGTAATATAACACTTTGTGGCATTTCTCATAAAACTGCAAAATATGTGAAGTGGGCTTATTACCAGACATGGGCTTATTGTCTGATAACTTTATAATATTCGTGAATATATGTGCGGTACTGAATGACAGGATATGTCTTACCTGATAATGTTCTTTAACCTGACACCGAAGACACCTCCTTGTATCTTTGATGGCTGCCTCTTTAGGGTTTTACTTGTAGGAGTGTGTCTCACCGAGATTGTAAGGGCAAGCTATTTAATACATAAATCTCATTTTCACTAAGTTAACGAGGACAATTTGATTAATATACCAGTAATATTTACAACCTTTATTTTTAGTTTGAAACATAAAAGAACTTGATATAATTAAAATATAATGCAGTTTCTGAGTTTATGTATATATGGCATTCTGAATAGAAGAACAAGGATTTATCTTTGGAAATTTTCATTTTATTAAAATAATGAGATAATATTAAATACAATGATTTCTTTCTCTTTCTATTAGGAAGACAATGTTTTTTAAACTTGTCATAACTTACATCATTCATGGATATCTTCTGTTCCTTGAAATTACTGCTTAACCAACTGCTACTCAACTACAAATCAGTATAGACATAGTCAATACAGATACAAAGTTATACATAGTACATACAGATACAAAATCATATATAGTACATACATTCATAGTACATACACTTCATACAAGGACTCAGAAAACAGAAAATCATACAAATATTTCATATTAGTATTGTGAAAAACAAAGTCTGACAAATACTTCATACAAGTATTCAGGAAACACAAAATCATACATAGTTCAGCTGAAACTGGATACCATTGTACTATACTATCCTATGTATCACTATATTCTGCAGTGGCTAACATGTCATCTCTATTATTAGTATTAAAAGACAATTTCTTACTGATTCTAGCAAAGAGAATTAAGTAAGTGTGGACTTAAATGTGGTGAATGAATGTAAACATATAAAATATTTAAATCAAAACTACAACTAGTTTGTAAAGCTGTAAACATTTGTATCTGTGCTTACTTCCAATGCACTGCGGCCAATCAACTCATCCATGGCCCCATCCTTCTTGTAACAAAGGACTCGCAGGGTCTGTGAACCATCCAGGTCTAGCTCAAAGTCCTCGTCCCACGATCGGTCTCCGACATGTATCACTGAGCTTGTGGTTGTACGTGCCTTCATGAAAAAGTGTCCATAGGAGTCCAGCTCCAGCTGACAAAATACTTCTGTAATGGAGATGTTTTAGGCAAGTGATATTAACTGATGAGAAACCAGTACTATAACAACAAATGTCTCCAAATCTACAGAATGATATAAAGGTTCTAATAAGATTTGAAGTCCCCAATAAACTCTCTCATTGGTGTCTCCTCCAGGCACATTTTGAGGAGTGTCTCCTCCAGGCACATTTTGAGGGGTGTCTCCTCCAGGCACATTTTGAGGAGTGTCTCCTCCAGGCACCTTTTGAGGAGTGTCTCCTCCAAGCACCTTTTGAGGGGTGTCTCCTCTAGGCACATTTTGAAGAATGTCTCCTCCAGGCACCTTTTGAGGGGTGTCTCCTCTAGGCACCTTTTGAGGAGTGTCTCCTCCAGGCACCTTTTGACAGGTGTCCTATAACCATAGTAATGGTACTTCTCAGTATCAGCTGGTCATCAGTTTTTATATGAAGCCTTAAAAATAATATGTCATGTGATATAGGACAGGAAGTGTCATGTGATGTAACAGGAAAAGTCATGTGATGTAGGACAGGAAAAGTCATGTGATGTATGGCTGAAAATGTCATGTGATGTAATTGTAAATGTCACATGAAATTGGTCAAATTTAACTAGATCTTGGCTATATTTTAGATTATATAAGATCTCATTCACACATGTGTTTCTTGATAATGTTCCAACAAATAGGAATAAAAGAACTATGATAGACTAGATGTGATGTCAGAATACTTGGGAGTCTGGGTGAATCAGTTTTACCTTCGGTCACATGACTAGAGAGAATCAGTTTAAACAGCGACTGTCACTGATCACATAATTACTCTGTTAATTAATCTGTGGTATGGCTTGAGAAGCAAGTGACATGGACGTTTTTGACCTGGTTACGTACCACACAGTTTGTCGACTCCCGCCAGAGTGTGAATTGTTACATTCAGATTACCATTCAGCATTTCTTCATCTGAAAAAACAATCATTTAAAAAAATCAGAACTGTAAAAATCATACATTGAAGGCATGGTCACTTACTGATTATTATAAATTAGAGTATATTAATTTTGTAAAATAGGTATAAACTGATTTAACATGTCCAAATTAAGATCAAATTATGTCGCTTCACTAATCTCCTTTGTCATGTTTACACTTCCTATAGTTAACTTACATCCAACCTAATATAAACATCATATTACTTATCACTCAAAGTCAGGAAGGGGAGATAATTACCAGACAATGAATTAAAATTTGTCAATTTTTCTGATACACATGGATGGTCTGATTACAGAACCTGAACTTATTGCTAAACAATTTTTTCTATCTCACCTTTTCTCATTAAAACATTTCCAATCTTGTTCACCTGTGGTAACTGAAACAGAAAATATGGTTTTAGTCTCATTAAGGACTTTTTTTTTGTTCTTTTGGTTATTTTTTAAGCAGATAAACATTTGTGATCGTTTCAGATCTATTTGTTTACAGTATTTTCTGGGTTATAAGTTGCATCTGTATGTCAGCCACAAAGCTGACTTTAACCAATATTTTTTTTAATTTGTTCTATGTATAAGCCACACTCTTTCTAACTGTTGTATTATGAATTTCTCACCTGTTTGCTGTCGTTGATCATCGTCTGGATGTCGTGGATACTGAGCTGTCTCTGCATGGCAGCTAAACATAGCAAACATACTGTCAACACCGACATACTCAACAAGAATGAAAATGTTACATGCCTTATTTTCATATCTAAGTTTAATTTAAAGAATACTTAATTTTGAATATTTACTTATTACAAGTACAATTATTAATATGAAAAGAAGATTGAAATAACAATCTAGAAAATTATATCAATTTCTCTCAGTATCATATACGGATATCACACACAACTACAGTTCCCAAGGAAATATCACACATATGATAATAACAGAATAAACATCACACACAACTACAGTTCCCAAGGAAATATCACACATATGATAATAACAGAATCTACATCACACACAACTACAGTTCCCATGGAAATATCACACATATGATAATAACAGAATCTACATCACACACAACTACAGTTCCCAAGGAAATATCACACATATGATAATAACAGAATCTACATCACACACAACTACAGTTCCCAAGGAAATATCACACATATGATAATAACAGAATCTACATCACACACAACTACAGTTCCCAAGGAAATATCACACATATGATAATAACAGAATCTACATCACACACAACTACAGTTCCCAAGGAAATATCACACATATGATAATAACAGAATCTACATCACACACAACTACAGTTCCCAAGGAAATATCACACATATGATAATAACAGAATCTACATCACACACAACTACAGTTCCCAAGAAAATATCACACATATGATAATAACAGAATCTACATCACACACAACTACAGTTCCCAAGGAAATATCACACATATGATAATAACAGAATCTACATCACACACAACTACAGTTCCCAAGAAAATATCACACATATGATAATAACAGAATCTACATCACACACAACTACAGTTCCCAAGGAAATATCACACATATGATAATAACAGAATCTACATCACACACAACTACAGTTCCCAAGGAAATATCACACATATGATAATAACAGAATCTACATCACACACAACTACAGTTCCCAAGGAAATATCACACATATGATAATAACAGAATCTACATCACACACAACTACAGTTCCCAAGAAAATATCACACATATGATAATAACAGAATCTACATCACACACAACTACAGTTCCCAAGGAAATATCACACATATGATAATAACTGAATAAACATCATACACAACTACAGTTCCCAACGAAATATCACACATATGATAATAACAGAATCTACATCACACACAACTACAGTTCCCAAGGAAATATCACACATATGATAATAACAGAATCTACATCACACACAACTACAGTTCCCAAGAAAATATCACACATATGATAATAACAGAATCTACATCACACACAACTACAGTTCCCAAGGAAATATCACACATATGATAATAACAGAATCTACATCACACACAACTACAGTTCCCAAGGAAATATCACACATATGATAATAACAGAATAAACATCATACACAACTACAGTTCCCAAGGAAATATCACACATATGATAATAACAGAATCTACATCACACACAACTACAGTTCCCAAGGAAATATCACACATATGATAATAACAGAATCTACATCACACACAACTACAGTTCCCAAGGAAATATCACACATATGATAATAACAGAATCTACATCACACACAACTACAGTTCCCAAGGAAATATCACAGATATGATAATAACAGAATAAACATCACACACAACTACAGTTCCCAAGGAAATATCACACATATGATAATAACAGAATCTAGTGATTTCACTGTGGATTTACAGCTGACTTACGATGAATTTGCCCCTGTGGGGAATGATGTTTCTGTTGATTATCAATAGCATCCCTCCATTCTTCTCGTTCAAAGTCATTGGATAGCAGTATTACATACTTGTTACCTCCCTTGGCAGATATTGTGATTGGCAAATGTGGTGAAGCTAGGACAAGTGACGCCTCCTGGTGAATAAATCAGGTAAAATAAAGGTCAATAACTCACAATTTCAAAAAGAAGTTTGTGGTCTTCATTATATGTTATCTTCTATAAGAAGGAAGTTGTGGCAAAACCAAGAAGGGAAATGAATGAGAATATTTTCAGTACACTGTAAACTTGCATTTTGTAGCAGCTTTAATCTCAGTGCTTCTAAAAATAAAATTGTTCTGGGATTTGAAAAGGTTATTCAGATGTAGGTTGCATTTTAAAATATGCATATAGATTTGTTATTAAGGCATGACATAAATATACTTTTAATTATTTATGAAATATGTATACAAGGGAATTGATTTTTGCTTCCTACCTGCTCCTCTATCTTCTTGCGAAGTTTGTCTATGGATCTCTGTTGGACTTTGCCTGCTAGCGACCATCTCTGTTGATTTAATCAAAATTTTCAATTATCTACTTCAAACATAGTTTTTCATTCTGTTTGAAATAAAATCTTCTGATTGGCTGACCTAATTTTCAGAGTGGAAATCTCTCGGAAATATTTCCCGAAAACCATCATATACACATGGGATTAACACTATCATATAGAGGGCAGACACCTGTAGTGTATTAAGAAAATGTTTCCTTACGCACTGAACTGTCAGGCAAACATATCATAAACACATTCTATCTGTGATAATGGTATTTTTGCCTGCATGAAACTTTCATTTATGTCAACTATAAATTTCAAATCAGGACGATTCAATAATCATGTTTACATTTTCCTACATGATTTTAGGTTTTATGTATATGCTCTTAAAATTTAACCGAAACAGGTTGTTTATTACGATAATCCACTTTGACGGGGTGTCATTGCCATCTCTATGCCAGCGTGGATACAAGTTATGTTGTCATAATGGTCATATCAGTAATGGTATTTACTGTCCGATAATTGTCACTTCTGTCGGACATGATTATAAATGCAAATTTCATATTTATGTATACAGCTGTGGTTGTTTCATTAAGAAACCATTGGAATTATTTCCATGTGTTTAGATCAGACTTGTACTCTCTGATAATACTCACATCTTTGTTTGGTTCAGCATTGCGCATCTCTGACCTCAGCTCAGCTTTCAAACTGACAATCTTCTTCTTCATAGAATCAATATCTTCCTTACAGTCGTACACTTTGTCACCTAAAGCAGAAAATTGTGAACTGACATCTTAAACAACTTTGTTTGTTTGCATGTGTAAAATACTAACACATGATTATACCTAAAATAGGAATGTTTATACTAAGACAAAAAACAACTTGTCAAATTCTAAAACTACTATTGCTGGCTTGGATGGTTATCAACACAAAATCATTTGATGTGCATTTTTTCTGATTATTTATTCATTTTTTTCGGGATAAAAAAGATTTTATAGATCTTACCTTTTTGTCCCATTGTTATCTCTACCACTGGTACGAACCATTTACACTCAAACGAACGTGGTTTATGTCTGAAATCAACGAGAATTTCACTCAATTACATAATTTCAGCAGTTTACTTTCTTAAGAAAACCATATGATATGACCATACTTCAAGTACAACATTGTGAAGTCACCTAACCACTCTTATATACCACTGAAAATGATGAAAAGTTATGCTTTGGATTCAAAATTTAAAACAAAATTTGTGAATTACCAAATTTTAGTTTGGAAATGCAGGGTGTAACAAATTATTTTTATTTTTGATTAGAAATTACGTCGTAATTCCATAAAGCAGTTTTTTAAAATTCAACAGTTACAGGAATGCTAATCTAATATCATGAAATATATGATGTGATGGCCCTAATGACATGTTATGTGTTGACGGGCTGTTAAGATTGTAATGATAACAATGATATGACGTGATGGCCCTAATGACATGTTATGTGTTGACGGGCTGTTAAGATTGCAATGATAACAATGATATGACGTGATGGCCCTAATGACATGTTATGTATTAACTGGCTGTTAAGATTGTAATGATAACAATGATATGACGTGATGGCCCTAATGACATGTTATAACAATGATATGACGTGATGGTGTTTTACTTACCTGCCACTGATCTTGTGTTTGGTACACACGAGGGCATCACTAAACAGGAACATGTACCTCAGCTTACGAGATCTACCATCCATCTCCACTACAAATCCACTCTTTACTAGATGATGTTTGTCCTCAGACTTCAATAATTAATTACAGTTTGTCAGTTTGGGAAGACCATCAATCATGTAATTATAACTGACAAATTTGTCTTTTGACACAATTTGAAGATTTATTTAATCAGAAGATACTTATTTCAAAGGTTCATCATTTATCCTTAAATCAATATAGGTTTTTTGTTCTTAATAATTAACTTCCATACTTTCAGAAAAAAAATATCATTTCTTCTTAATAGATTATTTCAAACTTCTTACCATGTAACCTTATAATCATATACAGTAACATGTTACCTTATCATTATATACAATAACATGTTACCTTATCATTATATACAGTAACATGTTACCTTATCATTATATACAGTAACATGTTACCTTATCATTATATACAGTAACATGTTACCTTATCATTATATACAGTAACATGTTACCTTATCATTATATACAGTAACTTATCATTATATTCAGTAACGTGTTACCTTATCATTATATTCAGTAACATGTTACTTTATCATTATATACAGTAACTTATCATTATATACAGTAACTTGTTACCTTATCATTATATTCAGTAACATGTTACCTTATCATCATATACAGTAACTTGTTACCTTATCATTATATACAGTAACATGTTACCTTATCATTATATACAGTAACTTATCATTATATACAGTAACATGTTACCTTTTCATTATATACAATAACTTATCATTATATTCAGTAACATGTTACCTGATCATCATATACAGTAACTTGTTACCTTATCATTATATACAGTAACTTGTTACCTTATCATTATATACAGTAACATGTTACCTTATCATTATATACAGTAACTTATCATTATATTCAGTAACATGTTACCTTATCATCATATACAGTAACTTGTTACCTTATCATTATATTCAGTAACATGTTACCTTATCATTATATACAGTAACTTATCATTATATTCAGTAACATGTTACCTTATCATCATATACAGTAACTTGTTACCTTATCATTATATACAGTAACATGTTACCTTATCATTATATACAGTAACTTATCATTATATTCAGTAACATGTTACCTTATCATCATATACAGTAACTTGTTACCTTATCATTATATTCAGTAACATGTTACCTTATCATTATATACAGTAACTTGTTACCTTATCATTATATTCAGTAACTTGTTACCTTAGCATTAGCTTCTTCATCAACTCCAAAGTTCCGTAAATTATGATCAGCAATCTTTAGCGCCCCCTGGAGGGTGGCAAAATCTTTATGATCCTCAGGTGTTACTTTGATCAAATCCTGTAAAATTCAACACCACGGTTACAATGGCAACAAAAAAAATTCTCAATTTCCTCAACTGAAAAATGACATCCTGATACATTCCATTATTTGGAATCCAATTTTTTCATTATTCCATAAAAAAAATCCACTGAAAGTTGTAACACTTTTCAAGTCTCAATTAATCAAAACTTGATCGATCAAAATGTTGCAAAACTGGTCTTCAGTACTACCCATTTTTTTCCAAACTGAGTGAGCATAGAAATCTAGTGAAACATATATTTCAAGGAGTGTGCTTTCAGCTCATTGTAGATGTATGATAGTGTTAGGTACTGAAAAGCAGTCATACTTACATGCAGAACTAGAGTATTTCTCTGTAATCTTTGGACAGGCTTAAACAAAATTTCTGAAAAAAAAAAAAAATAACTTCCATCTAGCTGTGTAAGTAAAATCCATTTCATGTAATGATACAGAAAAACAGATCTGAAACCTATCAGCCCATTGAATTTTAAATCATGCGAATTATTTCATAAATATTACTTTTTCTTTTTCAATCTGAATAAACATGAATATTAACACAATGATTTCCCTTCTTTTTCATGTCAAATCTTGACACACAACTTGCTATCTTTGAATCATTTTTAAACAGAATTATTCTCTACGTGGATTCTCAGTATTACGATTTAGGAACAGATGTTGTTGACAATTATTTTTCCGTAACAAACTACGTGTAGAATTAAACAACAAACCCACCTTCTAATGAAGACACCACTCTCTCTCCACTTTGTGGTCCTGCAATTTTCTGTTTGAATAAAGAAGACAATTTATACCACCAGAAAACTGTAGTAATGGTTTGTACAGAATTAATGAAATACTTTTACAAACTTAGGTATGCATAACCTTAATGACTGAGAACAATAAATACAGTACTATCAGGCAGTAAGTCCATGCCTTGTAATAAGCCCATCTATATTTATTTGTTGTTAAATATCATCACCAACATATGAAATTGATTGTCCTGTAACCCCTGGTGTATCGAGGATGCAGTGGTCATAACCCCTGGTGTATCAAGGATGTAGTGATTATAACCCCTGGTGTATCGAGGATGTAGTGATTGTTACCCCTGGAGTATCGAGGATGTAGTGATTGTAACCCCTGGAGTATCAATGATGTAGTGATTATAACCCCTGGTGTATCGAGGATGTAGTGATTGTAACCCCTGGAGTATCGAGGATGTAGTGATTGTAACCCCTGGAGTATCGAGGATGTAGTGATTGTAACCCCTGGAGTATCGAGGATGTAGTGATTGTAACCCCTGGAGTATCGAGGATGTAGTGATTGTAACCCCTGGAGTATTGAGGATGCAGTGATTGTAACCCTAGGAGTATTGAGGATGTAGTGATTGTAACCCCTGGAGTATTGAGGATGCAGTGATTGTAACCCCTGGAGTATTGAGGATGTAGTGATTGTAACCCCTGGAGTATCGAGGATGTAGTGATTGTAACCCCTGGAGTATCGAGGATGTAGTGATTGTAACCCCTGGAGTATCGAGGATGTAGTGATTGTAACCCCTGGAGTATCAAGGATGTAGTGATTGTAACCCCTGGAGTATCGAGGATGTAGTGATTGTAACCCCTGGAGTAACGAGGATGTAGTGATTGTAACCCCTGGTGTATCGAGGATGTAGTGATTATAACCCCTGGTGTATCCAGGATGTAGTGATTATAACCCCTGGTGTATCCAGGATGTAGTGATTGTAACCCCTGGTGTATCAAGGATGTAGTGATTGTAACCCCTGGTGTATCAATGATGTAGTGATTGTAACCCCTGGAGTATCGAGGATGTAGTGATTATAACCCCTGGTGTATCGAGGATGTAGTGATTGTAACCCCTGGAGTATCGAGGATGTAGTGATTGTAACCCCTGGAGTATCGAGGATGTAGTGATTGTAACCACTGGAGTATCGAGGATGTAGTGATTGTAACCCCTGGAGTATCGAGGATGTAGTGATTGTAACCCCTGGAGTATCAAGGATTTAGTGATTGTAACCCCTGGTGTATCCAGGATGTAGTGATTGTAACCCCTGGTGTATCAAGGATGTAGTGATTGTAACCCCTGGTGTATCGAGGATGTAGTGATTGTAGCCCCTGGAGTATCAAGGATGTAGTGATTATAACCCCTGGTGTATCCAGGATGTAGTGATTATAACCCCTGGTGTATCCAGGATGTAGTGATTGTAACCCCTGGTGTATCAAGGATGTAGTGATTGTAACCCCTGGTGTATCGAAGATATAGTAATCGTTACCCCTGGAGTATCGAGGATGTAGTAATCGTAACCCCTGGAGTATCAAGGATGTAGTGATTGTAACCCCTGGAGTATCGAGGATGTAGTAATTGTAACCCCTGGAGTATCGAGGATGTAGTGATTGTAACCCCTGGAGTATCGAGTATGTAGTGATTGTAACCCCTGGAGTATCGAGGATATAGTGATTGTAACCCCTGGAGTATCGAGGATGTAGTGATTGTAACCCCTGGAGTATCGAGGATGTAGTGATCGTAACCCCTGGTGTATCGAAGATGTAGTAATCATTACCCCTGGAGTATCGAGGATGTAGTAATCGTAACCCCTGGAGTATCGAGGATGTAGTAATCGTAACCCCTGGAGTATCGAGGATGGTTTCAGTGCAGAGAGTAACTGACAGCGTAACCTCTATAGAGGTATTGAAGTTGCTTTATCTCCACCCCTGACCTTCAGAGATACATGTGTGGAAAGTGTTGAATTAAGATTAACAGCTAAATCATTGAACTGGATAGCAGGAACATGTGGTAATAAATCTATGTAATTACTTAATTCTAGTAAAACAAAACAGTACAGTATTTTATATACATGTATCACAGTAATGCAAAAGTCAAAAGCAATGAGGAGAAAAAAGGAAGAAACAAGAGATCCCAGAGGGATCTTGGCGCCCACCATTTGAGGATCTGTTTTCAGTTCTTGAAGATTTGTTTATTTTCTTTTTGTGTTACAGGTTTTGTAAATGTTCATGAACTGGTCTTCATTGAATGTACTCAATGATGGCACAAGATATTTTCATTAAGCACCTATTAGCAAATCCCAAAGTATTATTAGATAGCAGTCAGTTACAGGTTGATAATGGCCATGGTCTTGAATCAATATGATAGAATATCGAAGAAAATATGCTTGTGCTGTATTACTGTCAACATCCAAGATGGCTGCCTGTGGGCCAACTTGATTTCAGATCAGTCCAAAAAGGTACAATGCACAACTAGGGACCAAGGGGAACCTGCATATGAAATTTGAGAAAGATCCATTCAGAACCTTCCAAGAAATAGCGATAACAAACTTTTACTTCCAAAATCCAAGATGGCCGTCTGTCAGCCATCTTGAATTTGAATAAGTCCAAAAAAGGTACAATGCACAACTAGGGACCAAGGGGAACCTGCATATGAAATTTGAGAAAGATCCATCCAGTACTTTCCCAGAAATAGCGGTAACAAACTTTTACTTCCAAAATCCAAGAAGGCTGCCTGTCAACCATCTTGAATTCAAATCAGTCCAAAAAAGGTACAATGCACAACTAGGGACCAAGGGGAAACTGCATATGAAATTTGAGAAAGATCCATCTAGTACTTTCCCAGAAATAGAGGTAACAAGAATTGTTTACGGATGGACGGACCACGGACGCAGGGCGATTTGAATACCCCACCATCTGATGATGGTGGGCTAAAAACTCACACATATGCGTATCTTTGACAACTGAATCAGAGTATCTACTGAAGTTTTCAAACTTACCATGTTCAGAGCCATTTTTTTGAAGTCAGGGTTTTCATTACTACACTTGGTAACACATTCCAAGGCTTTGTTAGTGTTCTCAACAAATTCTTTATAAGTAGGGAAAAACACAATCTGAAAGATAAAACAACAGGTAAACAATGTTGTGTTTGTTTTCATCAAGTTAATCATTTGTCGGAGATAAAAAATTCTTAATTCCTTTTACTGTAGCATCTACATAGAGAAAACTCATAAGAAGAACTCACCAGTTCCTTGAATATTTTTCCGATCTCCTGATCATCTGACCAGTGGTCAACTTTTTCTTTCAGACTGGACACAAATGACTTGTGGTGGACATGGATGTCTTCTACCTTGTAGAAGATCGTTGTTAGGTCCTCGAAGGAACACATGGGGTTTGTCTCACAGCCTAGCTGTAACTTACGCTTGAACTGTGAACAAAATGTCACAAAGAATTCTAAACAAAAGGAAACAATGATAAAACGTTTCACTTCAGTGTCTGAGCATGAAGGTAAGCTTTCTGAGGTTCAGTTGGAAGTGCTGAACTTCAAAAATCTCATCCTGAAAGTTACGTGTCTCTTTGTTTACATCACAAGATGTCTAATTAACAGTCACTTTCACACTGTAAAAATACTGCAGTGAAGGACAAATTCTATAGGTCATTATCCATGTGGCACAAAATTGCATACAAAGTTATACAGTCATACTGTAATTTATAAAGACGTGATACTATGTTGTCCTCATGTGATCATATTTTCAGATCAAACCTTTGTGTAAGCTGTCATCATTTTGAGAGAACATGCTGAAACATATGCCTAGGCAATATACTCATGGACATAATGATCAGCTGTACTGACCCTTCACTAGTATAATCCTTAGACCTTTGACCTAATAATGAAAATTTACAATGACCTCTGACCTAAACTGATCAATTAAATTGACACCTGACCTAATAATGACCACTGACTTTCAATGAACAATGACTTAGCAATGACTCTCATTGACCTCTGACCTAATAATGACCTGTGACTTACATTAACAAGTTCATCCAGACATGACAGGTAGGTTTCTTCGCTCCCTAGTATTCCATTCACAAGGATTTTCCTCATCTTCAGCTTCCGTGACTTTTCTGTCTCTTCTTCTTGGTCCACCACATCCAACTGAAACAGATGAGGAATAGACAATCAAACACTTGTTTCTCCTTATCCTGATCAATGTTCAACCTGATTTAATAATGACAAATGACAATTCAACTTTTACAATGTATTAAAAGATCTGTCGCATGGTCACTTGTGTGCAATTTCAGAAATATGTACTTGGTCATAAATGTCCAAATCCAAGACAGTGATTACAAACTGTACCGATTTCCAAGATTGTCATCTGTCATTCTACTAACTAAAAATAAACAGGACTTCAGATGAGAGATTTCTCATATCTGTCGACCATGCTTCTCCTCAGATCTGTCAATGCCACTAAAAAGGATTTGAAAAGTTCATAATACTAGGGTCTTAATGATAAAAGTTATCACAAAGCAGATGACAGAGCATGCAGAGACCAAACGATATTCAACATGTTAGGATCTTTTCATATTGTTATATATAATACAGAAGACATTTTGGAGACAGAGCTAATAAGGTTACCTCATCATGACTGTCACAGCTAATTGTGTCAAGGTCATCCTCCGACTTGTTCCTCTTTATTCTGGGTCTGCTGTCTGTCACATCCTCATCTGATTGGGTGTCTATAGCTACAATATACAATGTATTAAACATACTTTTATAACCAGTCTGTTTTATATCATACCTCCTTTTATATAACAACCTCAAATGAAAAAGGGGAGGTAATTTACATGAGGCAAAACTGCCATGGATATCTCACCTGATGATCTGGGAGTGAGGTTAAACTCTGTTGAGTAGTTTTGAAAACTTTCAAGAATGTTAGAAACTACAAGTATATCTGTATAACTTGAAGATGACATCACAATATGTTGAGATAAATCAAGGTGAATGTGCATAAATTTACTGAAGAAAGCACATCCCATAATACCAGACACACACACACCAGTACATGTATCAGCACACACTGGTGTAATCTCAGACACAAGCTAAAATCTTTCTATCCTAGAACAATCTCTGATCTCTCATGAGACTATATCTTCCACATTTAATGAGTCAATCAACCTCACACTGCCTATGTCAATATATGGAAATGGTTGTTATTAGATATAAGTTCAAATCTGGCTTTCAATCTGCTCCTCAAATTCCAATAAAATTTGTTCTGCAATATGGAAAAAGACAGCAAGGAGAGGATATGACAGATGAGAAAAAAGACACAACAGCATACAGTGTATCTGATCACCTACAATGAGATAATGATGAGAATGATGAGGTAAAATGACTGGAGTTTGATCGGTAGGAAAGCTTTTACGATAACAAACTTGTCTTGTATGACCTCTAGATCGTCATTTCTTGACCTATATTAAGGCAGCTGTCTTTGTACCTATGTTTATATACCTGTAGCCAAGTAGAGGATGGAGATAGATAACAAGGTATAGCCCCCTAGGTTGTATATAAAGTGTAATATTTCACCCTACCTCTGCCTAACCTGACAAGGGACACCCTATTGTGTAGACATTTTTAAGTTTGGTGAAAGAATTTCTCATCAAGACGTTGCCTGTGATATCACAACAACAAAGTTTAACCATTACTACTGGCTTCACACTAGTTAAACATAATCACCCTAGCTTGGCCAATGGTTATCATGTAGATTTCACTTAAATTTGATGTGATGCTGATGAAAAACCCTGCACCACAGCAAAAGCACTATACATGCCCTTCCAGCAGCTGATTGAGCTAAGAATAGTTTAAATTGTTACTTAAAATTAAAATTTGCATTTTGAGGGCAGAATAAAAGAACCAGTAATGCTAAAAAAAACATGTTAATCCAAACATGTGCAAGATTTTTCATCACAATTAAAGTAAGTTTGCATTTTTCTGAGCCTTATTCTATCTTTATTGTGCTATCAAACTTTGATTGTGATCGACAATCTCAAGTAGTTTAACTACATCCATTTAGGATGGTTCCTTCTAGCAAGCCTCTGGTATATGAAACTAGAACAAGCACCTGTACAGGTAAATCTCTGTTTACTGTTACAGAAATATTCATGTCAATGAAGCCAATTTGATGTCATTCACCAGTATTTAAAGTGTGCCTGAAACTTTTAAGTAATGAGGACAGATACCAATCTCCTTATATCAGGGGGTAGTACTTGTACTTCAGTCAACAGATACTATGTAAATAGTGTAGAGTCAGTATAGACATGGAGTCAGGAGGTCTGTGATAATGAGCAGGTTTATCTTCATGATTAGCTAGATTTCTCAGAAAACCTCACCTTCACACAACTTACACACAAAACATGACGTATCCCGAAGATTAGACCCTTTCTCGTGATAAGTACCCTAAATGTACATGTAAAGCACACATTTTTAGGAATTTTTTGTTTTTTCTAAAAGAATGCACAAAATAACAAGGTATTTCATGAAAGTCCTCCTCAAACTCATGACCATATATGTCTTCCCATATTAAAGACAATTTGTGTATGTGGAGAATGGTAATATAGTGATAGAAGGCTTTAGAAAGGTATTGTACAAATATATACCTGTTTTGACATTGTTATTTGGTGAGCTTTCTTGGAAACATCACTTATGAAATAAAGAACCATACTGTAGGTTGAAATTTGTACGTGTACGGTGTATGTACTTCACTGAGAGGTACACAGGTTCAAATGTCAGCTGGACATCAATGAAGTATGGGATTAAGTAGAACATGTAGGCAGTTACTTCCTCATTGATCAGTACAGGAAAGGATTCAGTAATAAGTATATACAGGATCAGAAATCTACATTCAGCAATTTATATAAAATACAGATTTGTTACTGAGGAAATAAAATTAAATAAAATTAAATAAAATTAAATGAGTTACAAAATAAGACAAAGATGAAAAGAGAATTCTTTATTACAAAGGTTCACCATAAATATACGTATAGTGAATAATTATCTGTTTTACACGGAATGTCCAAGCTACACATATTTATAAGTGGCGTGCTTCTACAGACATAAAGTACGATAATAAAAGCAGAAAACAATGGATTCAAGATCCACAAACTCCGGTTCGTGTTAATGTGTTAAGTTTGATATCTAGTGATTCCAGATCCACAAACTCCGGTTCGTGTTAATGTGTTAAGTTTGATATCCTGTGATTCAAGATCCACAAACTCCGGTTCGTGTTAATGTGTTAAGTTTGATATCCAGTGATTCAAGATCCACAAACTCTGGTTCGTGTTAATGTGTTAAGTTTGATATCTAGTGATTCAAGATCCACAAACTCCGGTTCGTGTTAATGTGTTAAGTTTGATATCCTGTGATTCAAGATCCACAAACTCCGGTTCGTGTTAATGTGTTAAGTTTGATATCTAGTGATTCCAGATCCACAAACTCCGGTTCGTGTTAATGTGTTAAGTTTGATATCTAGTGATTCCAGATCCACAAACTCCGGTTCGTGTTAATGTGTTAAGTTTGATATCCAGTGATTCCAGATCCACAAACTCCGGTTCGTGTTAATGTGTTAAGTTTGATATCTAGTGATTCCAGATCCACAAACTCCGGTTCGTGTTAATGTGTTAAGTTTGATATCTAGTGATTCCAGATCCACAAACTCCGGTTCGTGTTAATGTGTTAAGTTTGATATCCAGTGATTCCAGATCCACAAACTCCGGTTCGTGTTAATGTGTTAAGTTTGATATCTAGTGATTCCAGATCCACAAACTCCGGTTCGTGTTAATGTGTTAAGTTTGATATCTAGTGATTCCAGATCCACAAACTCCGGTTCGTGTTAATGTGTTAAGTTTGATATCCTGTGATTCCAGATCACTTTAATACCCTGAACTACAAGGTATTGGATTTAATAAATGTGAAACTTCTGAAGACAAGATCAATAACAAACTGCCGATACACGTACTTATACCTCGTGGACCAGGACACATGACAATGTGAATTAATCTATAACCAACTCTTTCGATTTCATTTCCTTGACATCTATGTACTAGGACATATGATAAAGTGATCAAGTTCTAATCATTCATCATACTCTATATCCTAAACACTGACCAGAAGGTATAACGAAGTGACCAAATTAATTACAAATTCTCTATAACACTGACCAGAAGGTATAACGAAGTGACCAAATTAATTACAAATTCTCTATAACACTGACCAGAAGGTATGACGAAGTGACCAAATTAATTACAAATTCTCTATAACACTGACCAGGATGTAAGACAAAGTGACCAAGTTAGTTACAAATTCTCTGTAACACTGACCAGAAGGTATGACAAAGTGACCAAGTTAGTTACAAATTCTCTGTAACACTGACCAGAAGGTATGACAAAGTGACCAAGTTAGTTACAAATTCTCTGTAACACTGACCAGGATGTAAGACAAAGTGACCAAATTAATTACAAATTCTCCAGAAAGTATGACGAAGTGACCAAATTAATTACAAATTCTCTGTAACACTGACCAGAAGGTATGACAAAGTGACCAAGTTAGTTACAAATTCTCTGTAACACTGACCAGGATGTAAGACAAAGTGACCAAATTAATTACAAATTCTCCAGAAAGTATGACGAAGTGACCAAATTAATTACAAATTCTCTGTAACACTGACCAGCAGGTATAACGAAGTTACCAAATTAATTACAAATTCTCTGTAACACTGACCAGGATGTAAGACAAAGTGACCAAATTAATTACAAATTCTCTGTAACACTGACTCAAGACAAATTAATAAGAAATTCTTTGTACGTTATCTCTTCATCATCAACTAGGACATAATTATGACAATATTGATAAATGATGAATCTCCACATACATACATGTTCATCTCACTGACACCTACTTAATGAAAATAGTGAAGACTTTGTGTACCATCCCCTCAACAATAAACAAGGATATATGATTAAGTGAACAGGTTCCTCCACTGATTAGTGTGGTCTAGAGGAGGTGTTTTATAGTAGAAAACTGATTTCAGAAAACACAGTTGTGCCTTATACCTGGAACACAGAATTATCTGTGGTGTGATCTTGAGGTCATGATCAGCTACACAACAGAGGAAGTCACTACTGCCATTTATAAACACCAAAAAAAAGTGTTAGACACAGCAAAACTTTAGCCTACAAACAGCCAATAGATAACACAACTGTAAATTTGTTGTGAATTTTTACCTTACGATAGCTTGGTTAAGGTATAATAACTATAATATAATAACTCTGAAATAGTGTTAAGAGAATGAGGTCATGTACTGAAGTTATATACCCTAAACACTCTCTGTACTTACAACAATAACCTGCTGATCATCAGTCAGGGATTTAGTCATAGTCTACACTGTAAAATGTGTATATGTACATCCCTGTAAGTGAACATACCTCTGGTACTTCGTCTGTCAATATCAAGAAATTTTTAATTCTAGCATTCAGAAACAAACTCTACCATTTTAATTCATATCAATATGCTTAGTCACTGAAGGCCGAAAAGGTCTCTACCATTTTAATTCATATCAATATGCTTAGTCACTGAAGGCCGAAAAGGTCAATTTTTTCTTCCTGGTTTGTCCTTAAACCTTAATATTACTCATACTGATCAAACAATGAAATATAAGTCCTGTAACTCTAAACAGACTTAAGGTCCCTGT